ATATATATCGGATATGAATATATAACTGATTGTTAATATTAGTTTTAATATAATAATCATTCATTAAATTTTGTTTGGATAAATGATTAATCTATTAAAATTGATTTTCATATAAAAATATTATGATTGTGAAATTTTTTTTACTAAACACGATCAATCAAATTTTTTAATAAAATTAATTATTTATAAAATTGATAAATATTTCATAATAATAATATAGTTAAAAAAATAAGTTATTAACATAGATTTATAATAGATGAAATTGATGTCGGTACATATTGATTCTGACAAATAAATCTTTTTGCACAATTAATCTAACTAGATCTATTATGCAAAACTCATTTACCATACAAGTAATCAATTTGTCCATGCTATATGTGGCTATTAGAGATTTTAATTTTTTCTAAAAAAATATATAGAGATTAAAAAACTAGTTTTAATTTTTTTTAATAAAAACTTATGTAAACATTGGTCAAACAATAGTCAAATTTTGGAAGAAGATAAAAGAGGAAAGTAATCAGTCACTTCCCTTTGGAATTTTCTGGCAGAAACGTACAGCTTCCGTCAGAAAACTTTGGTATCTCATTCTCACTTTATTCAAAGTCCAAAAGCCCCGCCATGAAGGTTCACAGTAAAGAATTCAAGACGGTAAAATGTCCATTTTGTAGAGAAAAAAAAACTTAATTATTTTTTACATAACTTTTATAGTTTAATCTGTAATCTATAAAAATTCAATTAAAATATTTATACTGTCCTCCAATTAAATCCAAATTAAAAATTATGGAATTCTATAATTATTTTAAAATATATATTTAAGTTAATTTCTAAATATTTAATAAAATAAAATTAATTTTAATTTATAAAATATAGTAAATTATTAAATTAAAAAAATGATGTGAAATTAAATTTACCATTTTCAGCAGAATTGTTATTCAGCTGAATTTGAGCACTATAGGTCTATGTTTTGGTCTAATGAATCTAATGTGTATATATTAGAAAGATGTAATGTCAATTCGAAGGTAAAGTAAAGGCTGTGTGTTTCCCAGACCCCTGCCTATTTCCTTCCCAACGACCAGAGTGACAGATGAAACTTCCTAGTAGTATCCACCAAGACATCTTTTACCATTTCCAACTCACATGACACTATATTTATGTATCCATCCATATTCCTTAATTTTCCATGGGAATTGGATAATTATCAAACTCCAGCTCCACCTCATTTTACGTCGATTTCAATGGAGAACAAAAATAGAGAAAATTATAATTTTGATGGAAAAAAAATATAAGAAAAAACTAATATGTGTTCATAATAATTCTCATGGTTTGTTTGGAAAGGGTAAAATAGAAGAGAAAGGGAAGAAAGTGTGAAGAGGGAAGAAGAAGAAAGTGTAAAAAAATTAATGTAGTGTGTTTGAGAAGAAGGAGGAAGAGGAAAGTGTAAAAAAAATTAAGATTTAAATATGTTTTTAGTGTCTTAAATTTATGGTAAATTTATTTTTTTATCTTAAATTTAAAATTAATTTTTTAGTCTTTATAATTTTTAAAAATTTTATTTTAATCTTTTAAGTCATTAATAATATATTTAAAAATAATAAATTGAGAAAATTATATAATATTAAGATAAAAAAAGTATATTTATATATCTATTTATAATTATAGTTATATTTATTTTATTATTTTTTTCATCATGTCGCATTGTTTACATTTATCATTATGTAGAGAAAGTTTGATAATTTGATACCACAATGAATGATTACATGATATATGTAAGAATTATTTTTATTTATCAAAATCATAATAATGATTCAAGTTTCGAACTTAACCTCATATACATATATTTAAGGATTTATATATAAGAGAGATAAAAAAAAATGACTATAAATGTAATAATTGATATAAGAAAAATGTAAAATTAAAATGATAACAAAATTATAATATTTATTGATATAATTTGGTGTCGTGTATAATAAATGAGGTATCACGAATTAGGATCAAAGTTTAATGGTCACTTAACCTCATATACATATATTTTCACTCTTTGTATCTTATTTATCTTTTAACTAAACAATGCATAAAAGTATATATAAGAATGAATATAGCAAAAACAATTTCAACATAAAGAGTGGCGTGTGACTCTTGCAATAATCGTATCCTACTTTCCACCCAGTTGTAATTAAATTGAAGTTCCACATCTTTAGGATCAACCTATGATGTCTTTTCTTTTCAGTTGTATGTAGATGCACGTACTTTTTTTTTCTTCCAAGACTCAAGCTTGTTAAAATTGGACGTATCACATCAAATTCCCAAAGTGTAGTAATTATTTTGTCGTGGGTGGATCACATATGATATTTGGTCGTGTAGAAAAAGTGGCATGAGAATATTTATGGCAATGATCTCGAAAGATTCTAAAGATGATCCGCATGTACGAGTGGAGAAAGATACAAATTTGATCCTATCATAATATAAAGGAGCATATATATAGATAGATGTTGTCCAGCTTTGCTTCCTACATTTTGTTTCCTTCAGTTTCATTAATATTCATGTGAACATATATCAAACATTTTCAATCAAAAAGAGGCTGCATTCACATTCATATTTAAGACATAGCCATATATTCCAGAAAGAAAATATAAAATGGTGGATTTTAATGATCATGACATGACTTCTGGACCACACTACATGTATGTGATACACGCATGCATGTTAGCTTATGAAAAATATGATGGATAACAATTAGTTGCAAACAAATCGATTCTCCAAGACTCGTTGCTAGATTTTCTAATAATAAATACGAGGCTTCATATGTCAAACTGCTTCATTTCCCTCGTGATCATTATGTTTTCTGTATGTGCTATTGCATGCCAAACTTAATTGACAATCTAGGGATAATTGTGATTGTGATTCTCTACGAATTATGAAGAGAAACTGACCAAGATATAACATTGATTATGAAAGTTAATATGTGATCAATCATTATCAAAGGCAAATTGCCAATGGTCTAGTGAATAACTAGATTTTCTTTCAGAAAGATATCTTAAATACAGTTGGAGATATGATAAATCCATTAACATGTTTCATGTTTAATTAATATGTTATGTTTTTAGGAGCATTGCCTGATAATATAAATGAATTTTATATATAAAAAGTAGTAGTTTCATGTTCTAACTTTTTTTAATTTCTTCTATTTTTGTATTTCATTTGATCTTTTTAAACAACCGATAAATTAATTCCATCTCATTATTATTCGTTAACAACTATGTTATGTTTTTATTTGGTTGTATAAATTAATTTCATTTTGGTTTTAGATATTCAAAGATACGTTTTTTGGTCTTCTTGTTTCTTTCCCATTACATTAAAAATAGTCTCTATCATATATAAGAATGGATTAAAAAGAGATGTTGAAAACAATGACATCCGTTGAAGTTATTTTACATTATTCAACACAAAAATAAAAAGACTATCTTAAAACAATTAATGAATACCTCCTTATATAAATATAAAAAAAAAAAAAAAAGAGTATAATGACCCCAATTTTCCTTTCTTCAATCAACTCAACTCATAAAAATTAAATGCCACCCTTGCACATGAATACATGGAAAATTAAATAAATATATGTTATGAAAGAAGTGACGGACAGGAGAGCCCTTTTTTTATATATAATAAAAATGGTACATTTTTTTAGTAATAATACACATACACTTAATTTTTTTTACGATGATTATATTTTTTTTAGTAATATCTCTACATCATTAATAAATTTAATAAATGATGTAATGAAAAAAAATAGATATAAAAATAATATTGTACAAATTGTTATAATTTTATTGTGCAAATATCATTTCTTATTTTTTTTCTTTCAAAAATCTATAAAATAGGTATTAGAAAAATAGATATGGATAAGTTGTGTTTCTGAAATATAACATCAAACGCGAAAGTTGTATTTCAAAACATGATTTTTTTTATGTTAAAGTTGTAATTTTACATAATTAAAATTAAAAAGAAAAAATAATACTATAAATACAACTTAAAAATAAAGTTGTGATTTAAAACATAACTTTCAAGTTTGATGTCATATTTTACAACCTCGTCTTAATCATTTAATAAATAAAAATGCTGATAGGAGAGAGAAAAATGTAAAATGAGTGTTAAAAATGGTATTTGAAAATATTAGAGTTGGAGGAAAATATAAAGTTTGGTTAAACACCAACAAAATATATTAACAAGTTGGTAGTTTAAGCGATACTAAATTTCACCTCTTTAAATAAAATCATCAAGTTTGAAGAATAGTTTGTATGATTATCAAAATTTAGATTGGTTGTGAGAAAATGAAATTACATGTTGAGGAGATTTTGAGTGTGGGAGAACCGAAGATGATAGACAATTAAGGAAAAAAAGTTGGGTAGCTAGGCCCAACAGTGGCCTAATCACTGCCACAATATGTAGCATATCAATTTTGGTTTTACCAACATCAATTGCTGATGCCACAACACCCTCTTATTTGGCACCACTTCTCTGCCATTAACAACAAATGCTATGTGCCTTCTTTCACTTTTTTCAATCATATTATATTATTATCCAATCTAAATTCTTTTTGCCTACTCCACTAACCAAAAATTATTTTTAACTAAGGTGAGTTAATATTTTGCATAATATAAATAAATTAACAGTTAAGTAAATTTGTAACCACGTGAGTATAGTGAAATAATTAACACTGCCGTAAAGTTGTGGACCTTATAGTATCAGGGGTTTATATTTGGGCCGTCCAAATTGTTAGTTGGGCCATTGGGCTATATTTTTTTTCTCATTATGTTTTTCTATCCATAAAAAAGCATGTGAGTGTGAGAAATGAAGAAGTAGAGAGGTTTTATGCAGAATTCCATGATAGAGTAATTATGCAATGGCGCTTCAAGTTCAACCAATTCCACTGAATTCTTCTTCTTCGACGCTGTGTCGTTCCTCTTCTCTGCATTTTCTGCTATTCCAACCCCGAAGCTTCCCCACTCTCAAATTCAGACTTGTATTTTGTTCGAACGAGACAGCGCAAGTTGAGACTGAACAGCAAGTGAAGGTGGCAAAGAGCAAAAAGAAGAACAGCGCCAGACCAAGCTTCTTCCATCAAATTCAAGACAAATGGTCCCACAAATTGGGCTCCCAAAGAGAAAAGTTCCCATGGCAACTACCCGAGCACCAGGAGGAACAACGACAACCACAGCAAGAAGAAGAAAAGCGTGGAAAGTTCCAGAATAAGCCTTCACCATCGAGTTTTCAGTTTCCGAAGCGGTTTTCTCCTTGGCCGCAGGCAATGAACCCGAGCAATGCGAATTTCGGTTCTGTATTGGGTGATGATTCCGAGGAGGAGGAGAATGACGGTGTCAAAGGTAAAGCGTTGCGACGCAACATTGGTGGTTCTGTTGGAAAGGGAATAAGGGTGAGTGAGGTTTCGAAGGAACGGGGAAGAGAGAGAGTGGAGAGGAAAAAGAGAAGAAACAAGACGGAGTTAGCGGAGAGGGTGATTCCTGAACACGAGTTGCGGAGGCTGAGAAAGATTGCGTTGAGGACGATGGAGAGGTTCGAAGTTGGAGTGAAGGGCGTCACGCAGGAATTGGTGGCTTCGGTTCACCAGAATTGGAGGACTAGTGAAGTTGTCAAGTTCAAGTTTGGTGTTCCTCTTTCTGCTCACATGAAGAAGGCTCATCACATTCTAGAGGTGTCTCTCTCCCTTTCCTTGTCTTTTGTCTATGCTTCACTTTAGCATGTCATCAAACTCTCACTGAATTCAAAGATGCAAGGAAATGCACCTTTTTCATTTTCAATCTAGTGTACTGTCTTCATTGCCACGCAAACACAATCTCTAACAAAGTCTCTCGTGAAATTAAGAGTAAAACTAGTTAAGGCACGAGTAAGACTCTTCAAACTCTATTTGGAAAAACTTCTTAATTAACACTTATAAGTTTAAATTAGCTATGCAGAGCGTGTTTGAATTGAATACAAGCCTAGAAAATACTCTTTACTTTTAGTAAAGAGACTCTAAAAAATTCTTATAAACCGTAACCAAACAAGCTCATACATGCTAATTTCTAGAAGCTTATGAGAGAAGTTTAATTCATTTTACATTCTTATTTCTTTTGCTTATGACTTGTCTTTTTTCTTATATTACTTTTGAATTGCTAGTGGTTTTTTTATTCTCAATGCTGTTTCTTGGTTCATCAGAGTAAAACTGGAGGCATAGTTATATGGCGATCAGGCAGTTCCATCGTGTTGTACCGGGGGATGACCTACAAGCTTCCCTGCGTAGAATTGTATAAGAAAATGAATCATGCTGAGGAGAATGCTGTGCACCACTCGCTGCATGTTGGAAGTGGAAGTGATGGTGAAGCAAGTATCAAAGAAACAGTTGGAACTACAGAGTCATTTATCCAAGACTCTGCAGAGTATTTGAAGGACATGAGTGAAGACGAATTGATGGAATTGTGTGACCTCAATCATTTGTTAGATGAGTTGGGCCCACGCTTCAATGATTGGACAGGCCGTCAGCCGTTGCCTGTTGATGCAGACTTGTTGCCTGCTGTGGTTCCAGGATATAAAACTCCATTCAGAGTTCTTCCGTATGGGCTAAGGCCTTGTTTAACCAACAAGGAAATGACTAACTTCCGTAGGCTTGCAAGAACAACAGCTCCACACTTTGCCCTTGGTATGCAAGAAACTATATAGTTAAATTCATGTGTTGCAAATATCTCTTTCCAATGGATACTATTTGTTTACTACTGCAGGCAGAAACAGAGAATTGCAAGGTCTGGCTAGGGCTATGGTGAAGCTGTGGGAAAAAAGTGCTATTGCAAAAATTGCCATCAAACGAGGTGTTCCCAATACATGTAATGACAGGATGGCTGAAGAACTTAGGGTATTTCTCATTAACAGAGTGGAATTTTTACAACACTACTGTTTAATTTAATTGAAGTAAAATTTGATTGTGCAAAAGAAAGTATATAAATCTGCCCATCTGCTTGGCCTTTGAGTCTAATGTGACCATATCTTATAATGAAAACATTGGGGATGAGATTATGATTCTAAACCCATTAAACTTTTGTCCAATGCATCAATTGAAGAATGAGCATGAAGGAACATGGACCAACAAAAATGAGACCTGTCTCTAGACTATATTGTCATAAATTATATATGCATTTTCTTGTTTTCATCCTGAAATAGTAAAGGTGAGACAACCATTAGATTTTGTGTTAACGTCTCTTTTGCTTCGTATCTCTGCTCTACCAACAAATGAATTTTAAGTTTTAGAGGATTGCCATTGTGACTATGCCACTCAACTAACGAGTTAACAGCAAATGACAGGTACAGGTGAGTTGACTAATTAAGTCACCAAATTACCATGACATATTTCCCTTATAAAATAACCATATTTTGTGTCATAAGATAGATAAGTTTGTTAACCTTCCCTCAACTGGGATTATCAGTTGAAAGCATTAGGTGAACTCTATAGAAAAATAAAAGTGCTGCATATCTTCTTTTTTTAGTTAATCCTTAGACATGATTTTTTTATTTGTCTGCTTCATTTATCTTGCTAAAGTCAGATGATTATGATCAATGGAGACTGTGAACGACTGAATATGTGTGATTTTCATGGTATTTGCCTCTTTTGGATCACATAGGAATTGAAATTATTTTGTTTCTTCTATATCATCATTAGGGCTTAAATGCACCCAAACACTTCCATGGTTCAAAAGCCAGCTACTTGACTCCTTAAACTTACCAAACCGTGCATGTTATAGTAAAATTCTTGTGCACATGTACAGAATCCCCATATAGGGAATTAGTTTACACAGTTTGGTAAAATTAAGGAGACAAGTTGTTAAGGTTTGTACCACAAGTGATTTACTGCGATACTATTGCATTTTAGCCCATTCTACATTTTCTTTAATCGGGTTTGGATCCTAGAAAAAAAATTGGGTACTAAAGACTGTCTTCATTCTATGTAATGCTCATGGCTTACACTTACTGTAGGCTGACTGCCATATTTGTTTAAGTCTTGTAAGGTTGTAAGGATTGTTAGAATTTGACCGCTGTTCTGATTCCTAATTTTCCCTGTGGCATATTCAAGTGAATAAATTATTCCTGTCTTCAGCCTTATGGTGGTTGCATTTCATGCTTGCAGAAATTGACCGGGGGAACTCTACTTTCTAGAAATAAAGAATTTATTGTATTTTACAGGGGCAATGACTTCATGCCTCCTGTTGTCACTGATACACTGAATGAGAGACAGAAACTAACCTTCCTCCAACAAGAAGAGGAAGAGAAAGCACGGCAAGTTGCTTCATCTATTACTGTATCAAATAGCAAAGCATCTCAAGTGCCAGTATTTGCTGGCACCCTTGCTGAGACTAGGGCAGCAACTACCAACTGGGGACACCAACCAAGTAAACAAGATATTGAGAACATGATGAGAGATTGTGCCATGAATAAACTTTCTGCTTTAATTAAAAACCATGAGAAGAAACTAGCTCTAGTAAGTTTTGAAGAGATCAAGTGAAATAACTTAACAAAAATTACCTGTTGTTACTAACTCTATCTAACTTCTGATGATCACAGGCAAAAGCAAAGCTCAGAAAGGCAGAGAAGGCTTTAGCAAAAGTTCGGCAAAATATGGACCCATCTGACATTCCTACTGATTTGGAAACATTAACTAATGAAGAGAGATTTTTATTTAGGAAGATTGGCCTGAGTATGAAGCCATGCTTACTTCTAGGTAAGGAGTAAGAACAAAATTATTATAGCTTTGTGAATGGCTGTTTTTGCATAGGGTTTAATGTCTTACACAAGAAATGATAGGAGCATGGAATTATAATTTCAGGGAGGCGAGATGTTTATGCTGGCACCATAGAAAACATGCATCTACACTGGAAATATCGTGAGTTGGTAAAGCTAATTGTAAAAGGGAGAAATTCTTCTCAAATCAAGCATATGGCAATATCCTTGGAAGCCGAGAGTGGTGGGTTGCTAGTGTCTGTAGATAAGGACAACAGAGGCCACCATATAATTATTCTTTATCGTGGGAAGAACTATTTTAGTCCGCATGTTCTGAGACCCAAAAACCTGTTGACACGAAGACAGGCATTGGCTCAATCTGTTGAGCTTCAAAGACGAGGGGTAATGAAGCAATGTCTTCTTGGTGAAGACAATATGAGAGGGTTTTTACAAATTAGTTTATATATAAGTTAATTTTAGTTTATAGAGAAATTAATTTCATTTTTTCTTCTATTTTCTTTTCTTATAAGTGCTTTTGAAAAAATTTACCTAAACAAGCTCTAGATCTTTACTTGAACTTTTATCATATGAAGTTTGTAATTTATTCCAGGCACTAAAACATCATATCTCAGACTTAGAGGAGAGAATTGAGTTGCTGAAATCTGAGCTGGTATGATTTTTATCACTTTTATATGATTCTACTGTTAATTATTTTAAATTGATCATGAGTTCCTTCTAAAGTTTTTGTTGTTGATTTCAGGAGGATATGAAGAAGGGAAAGGAGATTGATGGTAGCGGAACTCTGTACTCAACAGTGGATAATCCTGTTTCTTCTGATGATGATTTGGAAGAGGTAAACATTTTCTTTCCAGAAACAAATATCAAATGTTTGTATTTAACTAGTAACTTTGCCAATCATATACAATAGCAATTTTATGAGTACTTACAGTTACAGGAAGTGATTAACATTACTCTTCTTTTTTGTCTTATTTTTTGGCCTGATATTTTCTTTGGTGAACTAGATTGAATGGAGTGAGATTTATTTTGATGAAGATGACAGTGATGATGAGGATAAGAAACGTCAAACTACTTGACTAGGTACATTAGCACTGCATTGCAATAGTTGTGGAGGATGAGCATAATGTGTGACTAAGATGAAGAAAAGTGTGAAGCACTTGAGATTAAGCTACTGATCATTGAAAGATGATAGCGCAAAGCCACAAACACTTGAGCCATGCTTGTGATGCATCATGCAGTAAAATATTTCAAGATAGTAAATGGGCAGAGATTTTCATTGTTCTTCCCATGTGAGCACCATTTGTGATAGGGGAATTCTATCTTACCTCGAAGTGGTAGGCTACCAATAACATGTGAAATGGGTAATTCAGTTGTATGAATTTCAATGCACGAGTTTGACAAATGATTAATTCAGTTGGATAAATGGTTAATAATATCCCTTGCCATTAGGGTAGTACGATCTTCATCATACCATCAGATTTGTTGTTAGAACTTCAGTGCTAGAACTGTTGTTAGAACTGGTTAATACAAAATATGTATATTTTGTTTAGGAGGGGTCAGTGTATTATATTTTAACCTCCATCCGTAACTGTTAATCACTTTGGGTAGGATTACGACATTTTTTGTTCTTTGCATTATTCTCTTCGTGTATCAAACTTGTGTAAGTGAGATAAGAACTAATGTTTGATTACATGGTTGATCCTGATTTTGTATAAATATAACTTTAACCGCGATGATTAAGAATAGTTACACTCACTTCCATATAGTCATCCAATTCATTCCTCATATATACACACACAGCCAAACATCATTAATTGCATTTTATCCTTTGGCCTTTTGTTAAGGATTTCCTGTCATGATTTCCCTTTTCATCCATTTTACTAATTGCTTCTTACCTCTGCTTATTTTTCATAGATATATAAATTAATAAAATACTGCTTAATATGATATAAGAAAAATATCATGACTAGTTATGACTGCAAGAGTTGGATCATTGAATCGCTAAACAAACGCTCAAGTTTTCATTCTTTAAAAATGTGGAACACAAATAGGAGGCCTCATGTCCCCAACCTTATTTCCCATATGATATATATAAATATCACAGCCACAACCCGCAATGGTTCTTTCATTCAATAAAATCAAAGACTCTCCAACACGAGCAGAGTTCTCAAACGTACCACGCTGCAATATCTCCATCAGGGACCTGAAGAAATCAAGTTTGTTAACGAGTAGCACTTTCAAATTTCAATTGACTCAATGCAGCAACACTGGCTATCAGTTATATTTTATAAAGACTAATAACAGTGTGTTGCTACTTGCTAGTATTTCTCTTAAAAATTATAAAAAAGTTATCATTCAGGTCAAAGGCAGATAAATACCTAACTAGCATTAAGGTTGTCCAGAGGTTTCCTTTATAAAATTCACCACAACTGACGCTAACTCAGCTTGATGATCAGTATATACATGATCAGCTCCCTCTACGATGTGTAACTTGTGATTAGGTAGAACCTTTGCAAACTCATGTGCAGCTACAGCCGGGATAATGCTGTCTGCTCCACCGTGAACTGTAAAGATCCTGTCATGTATTTTACACCCATGCATTATGGAAATTTCTTAAATTCATTAAAACCTATCGATTTTCCCAACAAATTACCATAACTTTAACTTGTTGTTCTTTAATTCCCAACAAATTTCCATATTTACTTTTAAGTGTTAATAAAAATCTATTGATATTTATTTTAAAAACATAGTTAACATGATCAATTAATAAGGATTTTCTTTTATTTTAAAACTTGGCAGAAGCATGTTCTCGAGGGAAAAGCACTTAAAAGTTATAAATCACATGCATTACATGCTAATAAAAGAAGATATTATTAGACTACAAATGGAAAATGTCATCTGTTATAGCCCAAGCACTATCACCCTTTTGCAGATTCCGCTGATCATTATAATGAAAGTCTATAATGAAGATGAAAGAGTGAAGAAGAGAGGGAACTATCAGAGAATTTTTCTCTCACCTGCATTCTTTGTCAATATGCAGGCATTCCTCAAGCATAATTATGTTTAACCGATCCTTCAAACTTTCCTCAGTTATATGATAATCAATACCTCCTACAAGAGTAGATGTCATGAGATTTCCACAAGAACTAAAGACAACTATTAATATTTTTCTTTTTGATGCATGTGTTATTTCAGATCCAAAAGATGAGTTATAGCAAATCAAGATAGTAGAACTGATGCTGTTGGATCATTGCAGCAAATATTGAAAGAATAAACGAAGAGCTCCGATTGATTTAAAAAACAAAGAAATTTAGGACCTTTAGAAAGAAAGTGTAGAGGAAACAAAACAAGGAAAGGCTCTGGATTTGCTCATTTCAGCAAATGCAACGAATAGCAAGTTTAAAATATGGACCTCGGATTTCCCAAAAGCATCTTTTAAAACCATGCTTCTACACCAATTTAATCATTTGAACACATGATGGATTTAGTGGCCAGTTACCTGGGGTCTCTGCCTTCAACTCAATGAAACCTTCCTTCCTGATTCTTTCTATAAAATCTTTTCCAAGACGAAATTCAAGGCCAATCTTCAAATCATGGCTACCAGATAGGTTGACAATTGTTTTAATATCATGATATTTTGATGCATAAAGAAGTGCCGCATTACCTCCTGCATCAATTTACATAAACTATTCAAAGCAATTTCAACATACATGTAATTCACGTAGTGACAGAATTCTTTGACTTGTCCTTTATGTGCTTGAATCCATGCTTCTCATTCTATAGAGGAACTGAAGCATATTCTAAATTAAGTAGTTATAATTCTGTATTAGAAAGTTATTAGGCAGTTATTTTTGTATTAATTTTGGATTAGGTAATTACTAGTTACATGTTATAGTGCGACAGTTATAGTCATATATAGGTTGTGTTGTGTGACACACTTGATTCATTGAGATTTCTGCTTGTATGGATATCAATGTAATCCAACCCAACAAACCTTTACTGTGTCCAACAATTGCAATAACTGTACGGTTTGCCTCATGAAAGTGTTGAGCTACAGAATGTATATCATCAGCTTCCCTCCAGTAGCTACCAAACTCGAATGCACCTTCACTTTCCCTAGAAGGAAAAGTCAACAGCTTAACCCAAATGAAATTCTTAAACAATACTAGTGATCAGGATTAGGTTGTAGAAGTTTCATAGAACATATGGCATAAATGAAGGAACTGGTGGTTGTATATTTTGAAGGCCGATATAACAAACATAAATTTTCACGGTTTTGATCTGTAAATACAAGAAATTTACCCATTTCCAGTGAAGTCAAAGCGGAAAGAACTGATTCCTGCATTCGCTAGTGCAGCAGCAATATTTGTCATGATGAAGTTTTCCTGGAGATAGGAAAAAATAATTAAAAAATGACAATAACAGAACCAGGGTATTTATATGGAATCAGATGTCATATACATATTAACTTCTAATAACATTTGCATAATAATAATAATAATAAATAAGTAAAGCAGGTTCACAATTTATAAAACAGGAAAAGTAACCTTGGAAGCTCGAAGACCATGGCATAGGATAACAATCTCTTTGGTTCCAGTTTCATGTAGTATGCCCACAAGTTTGTTGCCATGTTTGTTCGGTATTATGACTTTCTGCTGCTGAAATGCTGAGAAAATAATTCCACAGTTTTGAGTCAATTTCTTTGAAATTGATTGAATATCCAAATCCAATATGCTACTCAGGTTAACCATGGTGATATGTATATCATACTGCAATAAATGTCAAACACATATGTAGAACCTATTAACAACTTAAAAGCACTCAAACAACATTTACTTCTGGATAGTTGACTAATTAGGTTAAATTTTTGTCACTAGTTATGTAATTATCCGGTGAATTAAATCAGTAGCTTCAAAATAGAGCACATTGATGGAATGAAAAGCTTTGCTAGGCAATGATTATGGGGTGTCATGTCATGAAGCATAATGTATATCAAACAAAAAAGAAATAACTCACAATGGTTTTGTGCAGCTTCGGCCATCTTCAAGTTCTGGAAATGTGAATCTGCTTGAAGAAACTACGATGAATTTGAGTTGAAAGTGCCAACTAAAGACTGCTTTCAATAATTCAACTTCCGACTGTGTCATACAATCGTGTCATGTGGTCCCATATCATATCATATTTGATCTAATCTTACTATTTATTTCAGATTCCGATTTAGAAGTGTAGAGTAAATAAATTAAGCCTTATTTTACACTTTCGTAAGATCAGATTGTTTTATTAGTACATATTAGATACACTATTTTCTCTTTAAATTAAACTATTTTATAATTTGAATTTATTTTTTATCAACAATAAATATATTTTATTTTCTTATTTATTTTTTACCAACATAAAATACATATTAGTCTTTGATTGTTAGATTTAAAATAATATGTTAATCATTAAAAAAAAATTATACAAGTTGCCAAAACTTGTATAAAATTTTCAGTTTTGCTAAACTGCCCTTTGATATTTGTATTTTTATGTTTCGTATCACAGGGCAGAGGCCAACGAACATAAAAGGCATATATGGACCCATGGCACATGCTTTGAGAGTAGTTGTTGGGATCCTCTCGCCACCCATAATATCAAAAAATCAATTTTATGAACATTTTCATCTTTCTTAAATTGTTCAAACAGGTGGCAACTAAGAAGTTTTTGCCATAATACTATGAGGTGTCCCACTAAGGCCTTTGTCCTGACCACAATGTGGTACCCTGAGATAATTGTTTGCATTGTCATAATTGATAATGCCAAAATAACTTTGTACATCTGATCAAAGGCAAATAACACTGGCAAATATTGTTCTCCCCATTATTTTCACCATGACGCAAGATTCGCTGATTAAAACATGCTGTAGAACATCATAGGCAGGTTCATCCATTAGAGAAAATTTGTCATCAGTTGCAAATTCAACTTGAAATGCAAGATCTACCACAACTATCATTTGAAAAACGACTGACAACAAAAAGAAAAGGTAAGTTCAGATGCTGCTAAATGCACCCCTATCCCAGTGCAAGGTTTCCTTTATGAAGTGCACAACAATAGAGGCTAATTCATCTTCATGATTAGTGAATGAATCTTGTTGTTTTGTATAATCTTGGCAAACACAGCTGCATCTTCAACAGGGATAACTGCGTCTGAAGAACCATGAACTGTGACGACCCTGTCATCCTTATGTGATTTGAGACTAGCACTTATATGCATCACGATGATTTCATAGCTTCATTTAGATTATTGTTTGCAAGATCACCTATATAATTTCATCGTCATTTATCACTCTTACAAACTTCATTTGCCCCCTAGTAACTACTTTATGCACTTAGTTGAACAAGTCATGTTGCGAAATTTAATATCATGCATAAATTTGCATACTAGAATGCAAGGTTTTAAAACCACATTTTTTTGTCACAATGCAAAGATTTAGATTCTCCATAACCACATTACATTTGTTTCCAATTTATCGCAACATCAAGAATCACGATAAAACTGCTACCACAATCGTAATTTAAAACTTCACTACGATAAAGTAGGTATTAAATCTTGTAAAATTCCTCCTCACGTTTTATTATAATTTTCAGTGAATTAAGAAATAAACAAAGATCCTTATTGTGAAATCAAGCTTAGAGACAATAAAACAAGCGACATTCAATGAAATTCATATGTTTAAACAACATAGTGGAGACAAATTATATAAACAAAAAATAATATGTACAAAGAATAAAGATCACAAATATCCTAATATGATAATTAGGATATGTGTGATTACGACAAAAGTATTACTTATGGTAATATGAGAACAACTTAAGACTTCCTAATTCCTATTTACATAAATTAATATATAAAAAAATACTTAATAAAATAGGAGAAAAATATCATGATTAGTTAAAAGATCCTATCTAAAACAAGGCAAAATCCCATAACTCCAACGGAATCAACAGAAAATTCATCCGCTAAACAAACGCTCAAGTTTTTATTCTTTAAAAACGTGGGACACAACTAGGATGCCCCTAGTTCCCAACCTTATTGACCATACGATACAAATATTGCTGCCACAGGGCACAATGGTTCTCTCTCATTCAATAAAATCAAAGAAGACTCTCCACCACAATGATTCCGTGAAGGACCTGCATAAAGCTTGATACCAGTAGCACTTTCAAATTTCAATCGACTCAAAGCAGCAATATTGACTATTGCCAAAATATTTTTTGATGTGCAAATGTTAATGAGAGTTTCACATTACAGAATTTGATATGTTGAGTAGTATATAATTAAGAAAGATATAATATCAAACTCACTTATGTGGTTGACTCATGAACCCATTGGTGGAGATTTCCCAGGTGTTTAATCCCCTTGTATTTTCTAACAATATTCTTAGAAAGGCTAATAATTTTAAAAATTACAAAAAGTTAACATGCATGTCAAGGTAGGTACCTAACCACTACTAGCATTAAGCTTGTCCAGTTGCAAGGTTTCCTTTATAAAATTCACCACAACTGAAGCTAACTCAGCTTGATGATCAGTAAACACATGATCAGCTCCCTCTATGATGTGTAACTTGTGATTAGGTAGAATCTTAGCAAACTCATGTGCAGCTACAACCGGGACAATGGTGTCTGCTCCACCATGAACTGTTAAGACCCTGTCATATATTAAACATAAAAATTCATTTGATGTAATAAGAAAAGAGAAAATTTAGCATAAAAATAGTACAAGTTATGAATGCCTTTTGATATTTATTTTTAAGTGTTAACTTAAAAAAAATGATGTTTATTTCAAAGAAAATTTTTTAACATACTCAAATAATAAGGATTTTATTTTAGCGAAACTTTGTAATGAAGATGAAAGGGTGAAAAAGAGAGGGGAACTATCAGACAAATTTTCTCTCACCTGCATTCTTTGTCAATATGCAGGCATTCTTCGAGCATAGTAATATTCAATCGATCCTTCAAACTTTCCTCAGTTACCCGATAATTAATACCTCCTACAAAAGTAAATGTCATATGATGTCCTCAAGAACTGAAGACATGTGCAATGTGCTATTTCACATTCAAAAGAAGACTTATAGCAAAGCAGGATGGTAAGACTGGTGCAGTAGGAGCATTGCATCAAAGATTGGAAAAAAAATAAAAATAAAAAAAGAAAAAGAGATCTAATTGGTTTGAAGAAGAAAGAAGAAGCTTAGGGCCTTTAGAAAGTTAGCGTAGAGGAAGAAAACAAATCAAGGACAGGCTGTGGACTTGCTCATTTCAGCAAATGCAACAAATAGAAAGTTTAAAGTAGAGAAACAAGTATGATTCTACATCAATTTAAGCATATGAAAACATGGTTTATTAAGTGGTCCATTACCTGACTCTGCCTTCAACTCAATGAAACCTTCCTTCCTGATTCTTTCCACAAAATCTTTTCCTAAACGACATTCAAGGCCTGCCTTCAGATCATGGGAACCAGATAGGTTGACAATTGTTTTAATATCATGATATTTTGAAGCATAAAGAAGCACCGCAATAGCTCCTGCACCAATATATATGAACAATTTCAACATACAAACTTTCTAATTCACGTGGTGACAGAATTTTGATTTGTCCTTTATGTGCATGAATTCATGCTTTTCATTTTATAGTGAAATTGATAGACCATGTTTTGAATTAGGAAGTTAAAATTATGTATTAGCAAGTTATTGTTGGTGTGCAAGTGTGAATGCGAGTTCCATGTTAAATAAAGTTGGGTATATCAAGTAGCATGTAAATGGAAAAGACCGATAAAACCGATGTCATAAGTTTTGGATTAAGAAATAGTACTGAGTGTACTTCTATAGTTTGCTCATGATCGGATAAGTAGATCTCCATGGTGTTTAATTCCCCTCGTTCCCAACAGTTATTAGGCAGTTATTATTTTGTATCAATTTCAGATTAAGCAATTACATGTTATGGTATGACAGTTATACTCATATATTCATTGCATTGTTCTTATCATATCACTTCATTCAAAATTCCTGCCTTACAGCCAAATCATTGTTGATCAGAATTACTTACCATCTGTTATTAGAAAAAAAATAAATTGATGATACAAATCAATTGCCAAAATGTATGTGGACATTTCTTTCCCCACCTCTTGCCATTCGTTGAATTACATATGCATGTATGGATATCTATGTAATACAACAAACCTTTACTGTGCCCAACAATTGCAATAACTGTACGATTTGCTTCTTCAAAGTGTTGGGCTACAGAATGTATATCATCAGCTTCCCTCCAGTAGCCACCTAACTCAAATGAGCCTTCACTTTCCCTGGAAGGAAAACCCAACAACTTAATCAAAATGAAACTGTTAAACAATACTAGTAGTCATGGATTAGATAACAGAAGTTTCACAGAACACAGCATAGGTGGAGGAACTAATGGTTGTATATTTTGAAGGTCAAGATTACAAACAGAAATATGTTCACGGTTTTTATCTATATAACAATAAATTTACCCATTTCCAGTAAAGTCAAAGCGGAAAGAACTGATTCCTGCATTCTCTAGAGCAGCAGCAAGATTTGTCATGATAAAGTTCTCCTAGAGATAAGATAAATTAGTTAAACAATGAAATATGGATTATGGAATCAGATGTCATATTAGTTTCTAATAACGTTTGCTTAATATAAAAACAGTGGGTTCATAATTTATAAGACAGGAAAAGTAACCTTGGATGCTCGACCCCCATGGCATAGGATAACAATCTCTCTGGTTCCAGATTCATGTAATACACCCACTAGTTTATAGCCATACTTGTTTTGTATTATGACTTTTTGCTGCTGAAATGCTGAGAAAATAATTCAACAGTTTTAAATCAATTCCTTTGAAATTGATTTTACCATACCGCAATAAATTTCGCAAACATATACAAAAGAACTCAGACAACATTTATTTCATGGATAATTGACTAATTTGGTTGAATTTTTTCTCTATAGTTGAGTAATTTTCCAGTAAATGAGTATCTGGCAATGCTTAGGAGAGTCTGACGAAAAATTATTAGATAATTTATTACTACTAACCGTATATAGTTCAAACCAATTTTGTACATGATATATACTTTAAAAAAATAATTTATAAAAAAATTAATAATATTGAATGACAATAAAGAGAAATTAATTAAAACTATACTATAGAAAACCACCTAATAATTTCTTCGTGAAATCTGCAGGAAATGAAGCTCATATGAAACACGACAAAATAACTCACGAGGGTTTGATGCCATGTTGAAGTTCTGGAAATGCTAAGCGGCTTGCGAAAGGTCTGATGAATTTGAGATGACAGTGCCACAAAAGACTGTTTTTGATAATTCATCTTCCGACCGTGCCACGTAATCATCTCATAACTGAAAATGAGTTTAAATGACTATCAAAGATAGATGCTGCTGCTGCAATTTAATCCCTAATTTTTTTTTTAAAAAAATTGCTATTAGGTTGCTGAACTAAAAATATTTGTTATTTTTTTGCAGTTTAAGGACTTCTATGACTTCTATAGAAATCAAGAAATATAAGCTTGTCCATCATTCACGTCAAAATAAGATTTTATTCGGATAAAAAAAAAGTTATGTGTTTTAGTAAAACAAAATTGAACTAAAATCTTAACCTTATTGTTTATCTCATATTTAGATAATTATTAACACTCATACCATTATTAGTATAAATATAATGACCTTATTATTACTATGTCAATAGCACACTATCATTTTAAGTGAATTAAAACTTTTGATCATTCAATTTAAGTGAATTAAACATAAGTACTTATGTAAGCAATTTTTTTATTACGGAAGTTTTTGCTGTGTTGAATTACGAGACCGTTCCCTCCCTGTAATTTTCATTCATTAAAAATAATAGCTAACTATCCATTTGCATTCAAATTATTTGAAGTTACTAGTTTTTTTATTAGTAAAGTTATTAGTTTAAATTCAAATTCAATGAAATTACTAAATTTGTGATCAAATAAGTAAAAATACTGAATGAGGCGAAATCTACCGAGGAATGTTCCCACAAATCCAAAGAATATTTACTCAATTTATAAAGAAAAAAAATATTTAAAAAATAATTATGCTCTAAATTAGTTTTGTAAACTGTCTTTGGTAGAGACGAATGAATTGAACAGGCATGGACTCGTGGCACATGCTTTTTGAGTATGGTAGCATCCTCATGCCACCCACAATCTAGAAATCAATCTAAAAGAATATTTTTATCATTCTTAAACTGGTGGCTACTAAGCAGTCTACACCATAAAGTTTTCTTACTTTTGTTTTTACAGTAGTATGAGATTAAACCCCATAAGGCTTTTTGTCCTGGCCACAATGTTCTACGATGATACAACTGTTTTCACGCTCATAATTAATAATGTCTACATGACTTGGTAAATCTGATAAGAGAAACATAACACTAGCTGATATTGCTCTCCCCATTATTTTCACCATGTGATGCAAGATTCACTAATTCAAACATGTTGAACATCATAGGCAGGCTCATCCATGAAAGAAAATTTGTCATCAGGAGTGAATTCAACTGGCTTGAAACCGCAAGATCTACCACAAATATATCATTAGAAAACAATGTCCAGTAAAAATAAAAAATAAAAAATAAAAAGGTAGGTTCAAATGCTGCTAGTAAAGACAGATACCTAGCTACATGTACTACCACTATCTTGGTGCAAGGTTTCCTTTATGAGGTTCACAACAACAGAGGCTAATTCATCTTTATGATTAGTGTACGAATGATCAGCTCCCTCTATGATATGTAGCTTGTGGTTTGGTATAATCTTGGCAAACTCAGATGCATCTTCAACAGGGATAACTGCATCTGAAGAACCATGAACTGTGAAGACCCTGTCATCCAATGTGTGACTTGAGATTATCACTTGCATGCATCAAGGTGATTTCATAGCTTTATTGAGAATATTGACTGCATGACCACCTTCCTACCTTCATCATCACCTCTCACCCGTAAAAACTCCCTCTGATAACTTCTCTATGCACTTTTAAATCAAGTATTCCTAAATTATACTAAACATAAATTTGTATATCACATTGGTTTCCCCTACTTGACTAGGGAGTAAATCAAAACTGAAATTAAACAATTTTAACTTAAAATATCAAGAGCAGATATATAATAAATCTTGTAAATGAGAGGATATTTTACATGAGTGAGAAGAAAAAAGTATCATAAATCACGGGAGTTATTTCAAGAATCATGTAAATATTTTAAGTCGTCATGCGACTTTGAAAACTTCTAAACTTGACCATCCAGATATGACTTTCTTACTAGATTCGTCCCTTGTGTGTGTGGATTGGGAGAGAGGGAGATGAAAACATACAAAAAAATCCTCTTAAAAAACTTCTTACAGAAACTCTGTAAATTCCACACACATTATTTATAAACAAGAAGATGCAAAAGGGTAAAGCAGAAGAGACCAGACCAAAGTTTTCCCCACCTGCATTCTTTATCAATCTGAAGGCATGCATCATGCATGTTCGTATCAAAGCGATCCATCAAACTTTGCAGAGTCACACGATAATCAAAACTTCCTGCAATAGTTAATATCCTCATATGGCCGTATAATAATATATAAAAAAAATGTGCCCAATGTTAGACAAACAGGAAAAAGAGAATATCATGTAATGTTCCAGGTTACCAATGATGGATGCCTACCAATTTTCAAGCATTAAAGACAATTCTTGTCTAAATTTTCAATTTCCCCACTTTCCTTTCCTTCTTTTCGGGTTTGTTTTGTTATTAGACATTTAATAGAGTGAACTGTACAAAATAAAAGTATAGCAGCAAGAACTTTGTGCTTATCGAATAGAATATTCACCAATTCCAAATTTTGGTACAAAATGTATAACAAAAGTAAAACAAGCCATGGTTTTGAACTTACTGATTTCAGAAAATACACTTAACTTCTAAGTAAGGAAACAAGTAATTAGCATTTAATAGACACTGAATTCGTTCAAACTATCTCTTACAACATGTTCAAGAGCCATGAAACTTTTGTGCATTTAAATGAAAGGCTACCTGACCGCTTCACATCAATGAAACCATCCTTCCTAATTCTTTCCATATAATCTTTTCCAAGGCGTTCTTCGAGTCCTGCCTTCAGATCATAGCGTCCAGAGATGTTGACAACTGTTTTAATGTGATGATATTTAGAAGCATAAAGAAGCACCACGTCACCTCCTGCATCAAGATACAAGTGATAAAATTTTACATAAATCCTCTTTATATTTATGAAGTTTTAAACTATCATTTCAGTACTTCCACTGACTAGCATTAAGCAAATGTTTTTTATTCAGAGTATGGACTAAGCACATGCTTGAAGTTTCAGTGATTGATCATCTATAAATGTGCAAAATTAGTTGTGTAAGAAATTGTATCATTCTCATCATATTGTTTCTTTCATTCAAGATTTCTACTTTGAAACCAAATCATTGTTGACCAGAAATTACTTATCATTAGTTATTAGAAAGAAAGAAAAATTAATGAGACAAATCAATAACCCAAATGCATATGGAAGTTTCTTTCATCGCCTTTTCTTATCTTTAAAATTATATATGCATGTATGGATGTCAAACAACAAACCTTTACTGTGTCCAATAATTGCAATCACTTTATGGTTTGTTCCGTTAAAGTGTTGAGCTACATCATGTAGATCATCAACCTCCCTCCAATAGTTACCAAACTCAAATGAACCTTCACTTTCCCTAGAAGGAAAACTCAACAGCTAAATCAAAATAAAACAGATAAACAATACTAGTGCTCATGATTAGATAGCAGAAGTTTCATACGATGTGCCATAAATGGAGGAGCTATTGATGATTCTATGCTTCTATCATTAGGACAAGAGATGCCATCTCAGATGGTTTTAACTTTTCCTTTGCCAGTGGAAATAATTACTTTGTCAAAACTATAAAACATCAGTTTGTCTACATTCCCTTGTCACATAGAAAAACTCAAGTTTGTTATAAAATATTACCGTTGACTTCTAACGTGTCATATTTTGGTAAAAAAAAGTATAATCTTGTACCTTGTATCTTGATAGTTGATAAATATATATTCCAAGAATAAGGAAAATAACTCAGATAATTGGCATAATGTTAAGTGGGATTGCATAACACACCATGTTAACAAAATTTGAATATATAAACATTCAGCATCTGCTTCTTGGAATAGAAAATCATATGCTTTACAATTGTTACCAACTTATGCCAACAGCTCCATAAAATAACTAAAACCTTTGAATGTCTAGAATTGCAGAACAGTTCTTCAATGGCTTTGAGCTTACACTTTTAGCATAGTTCTGAATCTAATAACACTGATATTCGTAACAAAAAGTGAAGTTGGTTGCATATTTTGAAGGTCAAGATTACAAACACAAACAAGTTCGTAGTTTTGTCCTGTAACACAAGATATTTACCCATTTCCAGTGAAGTCAAAGCGAAAAGAACTGACTCCTGCATTCTCTAGAGCAGCAGCAAGATTTGTCATTATATTGTCATCCTAGAGATAGAAAATATTAATTAAACAATGAAGATAATTGAATCAAGGTATTTATGTGTATGGATAATGGAATTAAATGTCATTAATTTCTAATAACATCTGCATAATAATAAAAAAATAGTAAGTTCGTGATTTATTAAACAGGAAAAGTAACCTTAGAGCATTGAAAACCATGGCATAGGATAACAATCTCTTTGGTTTCAGATTCTTGCAAAATGCCCACTAGTTTATTGCCATACTTGCTAGTTATTATGACCTTCTGCTGCCGAGCTGAAAAAAAATAATTCAGCAGTTTTAAGTCAAAATCTTTCAAACTGATTGAATACTCAATACGCAAATTAGATTAATCGTTGTCATTCTTTATTTCAATAATAATATTTTTTAAAATAATTGGCATTGCCATACCATTGGAATAAAAGAAAAGATTAACATTTTTCACAATTCTGTAATCAGGCTGATTACACTTACATACCAGCTGAAGTGACTAATTAATTCTGACCTAGTATTCACAAGAAAGAATCTTGCTAACACGGTTAGAGGAAATAAAATAGAAACTAAAAAATAATAACAGGAAAACCAATCTGTACAAATAAAAACAGAAACTGGAAAATTAAAAGACTAATTAACACGTGCTCTAACACATACTTTCCAAATATCACTTTGGATACTTCCATTGCATATTATTTCAATTGCATAGGAAATACATTATAAATCATGGAATATGAATCCTGTTTCCAAGGACAGCAGACTGCTACCATGAGGTGAACTCTGTAATAAAGTTAAAGTGAGAAGTCCCTTCATTATGAACATAAAATACACTTGATTTATATGGTACACGGTGTGAGAAAAATTGAGAGACATTCTTCAACAAATCTGTAACTCAAGATGTTGTGGACGCAAATTTTAACACAAAAAAAGGTGGAATTAGAAACTCAACTTTAAGCTAGATTTGTTAACGCTCTGAGTAATGGGGATAGCTAGGACTAGGAAGGAAGACAAGAATCAGATGAGGTTCGGCTGCCTATCAATTTGTGTAAGCTTGTAAGTTGGTGTTATTTCCAACAACCCACAGCAAAATCACTTAGATTTCTTTTTCTATAACCATTTTATTGGTACAAAGTATATATTAACTTTGTCAATAATTAATTTCTATCAGAAAACTAGGCTGACTCGCCTTTAATAAAGTTTTCTCTATCAATCACGTATTTTCATCCATAATACTTGAACCAAAAATCTTGTTTCAGTTAATTGACTCCAATACCACTTGATCCAAAGATCATGTTGACACTAAATTGCTTAGATAAAATGTGTTTTCTTGTTAAATATGTAGAAAAATAGTATTTGAAGAGATCAAGAAGAAAATCCAAAAACTGAGGAACTCCTCAAATAACATACTATTCTATCTAACTGCTAACTTAACATGTAAATTAACATTCTAATTCCAGGTAACATGTAAGCAAACACATGACCTCAGTCTCCTCTCTGTGTCACACAAATATATAGCGTCTATTAAACCTAAAAAGCACTCGGCCAACATTTATTTCATAATAGCGACTAATTAGGCTAAATAATTAAATAAACCACATGGAAGCTATTTAGAATACTTAAAGGTGAAACCTTTGCTACCTAAAAGATTATGGGTATTCAGTCACTCATGTCATCATCCTCAAAACAAGTATCAAACACGAGAAAATTAACTCACAAGGGTTCTGGGCAGCTTTCATGTTCAGGTTTCTTCTGTAAATGCGAACTGGCAGGCGAGAAAATTCAGAAAAGATGGGTTGTGAAAGCTTCCTGAATTCAAAAAAATGATGAGACAAATTTCCCATCGGACCCGTTAAAATAGTATACATATCATATCATTAACAAATTCTTAAAATTATATTCCACACGTTAAATTGCTTATCGTGTTTATAAAGTTGAAATCATCGAATTAGACTCCAAAATTATAATTACCAATGAATTAAATCCTTCAAATTATGAAAAGTATTTCTTTTTATTTTTTGTAGCTAGTATCAAACTAAAGGATATCAGCCTCGAAAATATTTATTAATCCTAATTATTTTTATCTTTTTCAGTATTAATATATTTATTATTCTTTTTTTGTATCGTCCCTGAAGTATCCAGGGCCGACAGCAGTGACTAATCTCCTCGCTACGAGAGAGGCACCTCAAAGGGTGGGATAGCTGGCCCCAAGATTTAACGGGGTTACATACACAAGGCAGGATTCGAACCCCTGCCCTTGCTTAAGAGTGAATCAACCCCTACCGCTGAACCACACGCTTGGGGTTAATATATTTATTATTCTAATTTTTATCAGCCAATAGCTATGTATGTAACGAGAGACCAAGTAAAATTCTCAAAGTTCTATACGTACAACCCAAAAAACCTGAAGCATTAATATATTCCATCTATTAATTATTGAACTTAGAAAAATATCCATGATTAAAAGCATTTTAATTAAATATTAATTAATGTAAAATAGTTTTAAAATAATTATCGTAAAAAAATTATATTGAACCTCTAATTTACTTTTATAAAAACAATCATCTAGAAAGGATAAAGCTAAACCTCTAATTTAATTCTCATTAACATATGATTATCACCATTATTTGTTGAAAATAAAAAATAAAAAAAGGCCTTTTTAGAGCACTTCCACTAAGTATTGAAAGATGTTATTTTTATGTATTATTTTAGTTAAATATTAGAATATTATCTTTCAATTAATCTTACTATGATAAGATTATGATAAGAATTCAATCATTTAAATAATTATATCATTAATGGTGGAGATCGAAAACAAAAAATATTAACAATTAAGATTTGTTGATGATTATTGGTAATTATAAGTAGTTACAACTAGTTTTTTATAAATACTTGTTTGCATCATGTAATAAGATTAGGAATATGTAAACATTGTATCTTAAGTCTCACCAATACTCACGATCAATGAATTTTTATAATATTATCAACTATCATTTATTTTTTAATATGTTTGCAAAATCATTTAACAAAAGACTTTTTTCACTTTCCAATGTAAAAAAATCAAAGTATGTGATTTGTTGTTTTTCAGTTGCATTGTACGTAACTGCAAAACAAACACACCCTTAGTAATTTAGATTTGTTCTCAATCTTTTTCTTTTTATTTGTTCTTTTCCAAACTTAAACTTTTCACTTTTTAATCTCCATTTTTTCCAAACTTAATTTTTTCACTTTTTAATCTCAATTTCTTGTCTACACTCAAATTATTTTACATTTATGCAAAATATCTCTCTATCTATTTTATTTTAAGTTAAAAATCAATAGGTTACTTTTTTTCTATAAAATAGTATATTTGAAATAATTTTGTTGTTCATATTTATACAATAATTTTTTATCATGATTTTATAAAATATATACAATTGATTTTTAATTTTTAAAATTTATGGTTCTTAATTTTTTTTATCATGGTTATATATATAATTAATTTCTCATATTTTATTAATAATTTTATCTTTTTATAAACTAAAATTAGATAAATGATTATTAGTAATTTTTATTATCTTTAATATTATTGTGATTCATAATTTCATTTTTTTAATTATTTAGTAACTTTTTATATTTTTATTTGACTTAAAAATATTTTTAATCCCTGCCAAATTAGAAGTTTAGATTTTGATCCCATAAATTTTTTTTCTTTATTTTTCATCCTTCTAGAATTTGTAAACATTATTTTTTATCTTTATAAAACAAATAAAATTTAATTTCATCCCTATAAAATATTTTTCTTTGATTTTTATCCCTTTAAAATTCAAAGTCAATATTTTTGCCTCTAACAAATATTTTTAAGGTACATAAATAAAAATGGGATATCAAATACCGACAATACCGACATGATATCACTAGCAGATATATGTAACACCTAGGATATACATGTTTACAAACACTTATTCAATTTTAAAGTTTACAAATGCTTTTGCCGTGGCCACAATGTGCTACCATGAGATGATTGTTTGCATTGTCATAAACGTGATAAACAATGTTAAAATAACGTTGTACATCAAGTTAGAGGCAAATATCAGTTGCAGATATTGCTCGTATTATTTTCACTCTGTGCAAGATTCACTAATTTAATAAGTAAAAACTATAGGAGAGCTGACTCAAACACGTTGTAGAATATCATAGACATTGTTCATCCATGAGAAAAAAAATTGTCATCAGAAGTGAAGTTAACTGGCTTGAAACTGCAAGATCCATCACAACTATATCCTTAGAGAAGTTTAAGTTCAGATGCTGCAAGCAAAAACAGATACCTAGCTAGCAGTACCCTTATCCTGTTGAAAGGTTTCCTTTATGAAGTTCACAACAACAGAGGCTAATTCCTCTTGATGATTAGTGAATGAATGATCAGCTCCTTCTATGATATGTAACTTGTGGTTTGGTATAATCTTGGCAAACTTGGATGCATCTTCAACAGGGACAACTTTGTCGGAAGAACCATGAACTGTTAGGACCCTGTCGTACATAATGATTTGAGATTAACACTTCGGTGCACGACGGAAAATTTATAGCTTTGTATAAACTCCCTCTAGTCCAAATATATAATGTGCCCTTTTGATTTTTAAATCATATGTGCCTAAAATTTAATGCCATATATAAATATGCATACTAAAATGATCCTCACATTTGATTATGGAGTATATCAAAATTAAAACTCAACAATTTTAATTTATAATGTCAAGGTTCAAGAGCATATATTTAATCTTGTAAATTTCCTCCTTTAATTGTATCAGTTTTCAAAAAGTTAAAATTAATAGGAACACCACTCATAATGTTAGGCTAAAGAAAACTGAGAGACATTTGATGAATGCCACGTCTTTGCATTACACAATGGAGCTGAAATATATCGAAAAGATAATGAATAAAAATATCACAGATATCCTGATTACTGTAATTACATGATTTGGTTAGAGCATCTTCAATGAGAGTTACTTATAAGCAACTCCCTGTACTACATCACTGCCAAATCAGTTCTGGCCCACTTTATGGGTTGCTTAAATTTTAGCAGAGTTGCTTCTCTACAAGTAACTCTGCTAAAATTTAAGCAACCCATAAAGTGGGCCAGAACTGATTTAGCAGTGATGTGGCACAGGGAATTGCTTATAAGCAACCCCCATTGCAGATGCTCTTAGTCCGTACCATAAATCAAGATACTATTTATGTACTTTCCAACAAATGTGAAAAAGAAAAGACTTCATACAGAATTTTATTTAATTCCGCCTAGAATAAACTTGAAATTCATAAAATGAGTATATATGTTTGAAGTTTAAACAATTTGGATTTTTCGATCCATTATATAATATAGAATGAGAGAAAGTCGGAGAAAGATAGTGAGGAACATACAAAGTTATCCTAAAGCTTTATTTGGATAAGTTCCTCCTTAAGTAATTATAGAAGAAAAAAATAAGAAAAAGCAAATAAACCTTTTTTTTAGGATAAAAATAGCTTCAGAAAAAAAAAAAAAAAAAAAAAAAAAA